TCCACGAGAGAAAATTGAGGTGCAGAGTGGTCATTATTTGAAAGTCACGTGGCCACAGGACTAACCCTGCAGCTCTCGGCTCTGTCCCGTGTTCCTTGCAGCCTGTCACAGCTGCCCGGTCTAAAAATGCCGCTTCTGCTAAAAGGGGTGCGGGACGGGCTCGTGAAGAGGCTGAATGAATCACGAGCCAGACTGTCGCTGCAGAGCCATCGGAACTCTTTACTTCCTGTCTGGGGCACAGGCATGCGTGTGTGTGTGTCTTGAATGTCGTGGGAAGGATCTGCGTGGCGCTGCAGAGTCCTCGTTCCCCGAAACCATGCAGGTAAACGGGCCGCTTTAGAGACCCGCAGGGCACAGAGGCAGACCCGTGGGAAGACACCCCAGCTCGTCAGCCGGGAGAAGAAGAAAGCAGCGAGGAGGTAAGATTCGACAGGCGCGACAAAGTGGTGTCTGATTCGTTGCAGAGAGTGGCGCAGGTGGGCAGATTTTGAATAGTTTTCAAGTTCAGCCGGGTCGGACTCGGCTGTGCGCGTGAGAAGGGAGCGTGCTGCCCGGGGTTGCCGACACAGCTCGTGCGGCCAGGCCTGGCGTCGTTCGCAGGAGCTAATGTCTCGTGTGGCCGGCCACGCAGGTGCACGGAGGGCTTGTTCTCGAGGAAGGAGGTGGGGACTCAGAGCGGCGGCTCCCGAGGGTGGCCCCGGACCAGAAGCCTCAGCGTCACCTGGGAACATGCTAGACGCACAGCCTGGCCTTCGAAGTAAAACAGACTCTGGGAACAGGGCCCACCCTTCTGTTTGAAGAAGCCCTCCTGGGGATTCTGATGGCACCTCCGGTGTGGGAACCGCTGGATGGGCGGAAGCCTCCTGTGGGGCTGCATCCGCAGCGAGGGACCAGCACCGTGGGCAGCGCACACACCCACCCCCACGGAGGGGACGCCCGCGGCACCCGGAGCTTCTCCCCCCGGGGAGGAGGGAGCTGCTGTGTGGACCTCGCCTTGCCCCAGTCTTCAGAGCCACGGGTTGTAACATGACTTGTCCACACTTCTCCAAGGGGTAGGGGGAAGAGTGGGAGAGCCTTCTGTGTAAGCAGCAGCTTGTTCTTTGGGCGAGGCAGACAGAGCCCTGACACTTCTAGACAAGAACTCAGAGCCGGGGGGGCCGACCAGGCGGGAGCTCGCGGAACAGCCGGCTTTCCTCACTGGGACCCCCAGAGTCCATGGTGCTCGGGAAACAGGTGCTCTTGGCGCGCTGTCCCTGCAGCCTTGGGCTCACGGAGGACTAGTGGGGTCTCTTTGCTCAAACTGTCCTAAGGACGAGGGGCTTGGAATCCCTCGAAGCTGAGTCACTGCTGGCTTTGTTCGAAACTTCATGGGAGAGAGCTGAGGCCAGCTTCATCAGTCCGCTAGAGCTACACATTTTTTGTTTTCTCTCTTCTCACCCCTCCGTCCCACACGTTCGTTTAAAAATCCAGTCTATCCAGATTGCGGAAATTACTCATTAGCCAACAAACGAGGGCAGGGATGTGTTCACTAATGTTCACGTCACCCCCAGTGCTTGGTACGTGGTAGGTGCTCAGTAAATGTTCGTGCGCGTAAGTGAATCCCAAATCTACTTTTTTACTCTAACGTAATCAGAACTTTTTTTTTTTTTTTTTTTTTTTTTTTTTTGCCTCTAAGTAATTCTATTCCCCTTTTGCTGTGATCAATCATAATATACACTCCCGGCCATACGTATAGCTCTGCATTTGCCTAGTATCTTACAATACGGTTTCCACACCACCCCAAAACTGTGACACCAAAGCAAGCACAAAGTCGTTGCTTTTGACTTGCCAGTAATGGACCCGCGAAGGCCATCACTTCATCCACTGGGTAAGCTCTGTGGATGGAGCTGGGCGCTGGCCCTGCTCAGAGGAAAGGAAGTGTGATCAGAAGGTCTCTTCTGAGTCTCGGTCAACACAGTACAATCAGGTCTGTGCTCTACGGGCTGCCGGCTCAATCAGTCATTTCCATTCGAGGCTGTTTCTTATTATTAATTATCACTACCTTCCCCCTTTGGAGTTGAGAGGCTCAGAGATGCCATTATGCATGATATAATTTTGTTAAGAGGCAAATAATTGCTTCTGAGTATCTTCACCAAGTGCTTCTTGGAGCAGCTTAATAACGTGAACGAGCTAACTGCATAGGGATGGCGCTGAGAACAGCCCAGGACAAAAGCACACAGGAACCTTGGTGGCGGTCACAGAGTCACGGTGACTGTTAGTGTTTTGATCTGGAGACGCCGTGGTCTGTGTTCCGTGACCTCAGGGAGGGTCTGTCTCTGCAGGCTCCGTGCTGGGCAGGAGACGGGCGGGCATGCGAGGCTGACCTCACTGTGGCACTGCGGCCACCACAACGGAGCCGCCTCCATGGGGCCAGGTGGCCGGGCGAGCACCCCACCAGGGCGGCCCACAGCTGGGCGCTGCTCCCTGTGCCCTTCTGCCCCTCTGCGTGACATGGCAGGTTGTTGTTGGCCACCAGGCTCCAAACAAGTGCTCGAAACAAGTGAAATGGATTCTGAACACGCCTTTAACAGGTGCAAGTTATGTGGGCTTGCAGAAGAAACTGTCGGGAGGCGGCTGTAGACGCTTCCCCCGTTTGGGCGGGACGCCGAAGGATCTGCAGGTGGTTGAATGGACGGCACGGCGGGGAATGTGCAGGGAGAGTTGATGCGAGCTCCCCAAGGAAAATGCGCTGTTCTCCTTGGAGTCCAGCTAACTGAAGGGGAAGATTCCTCATCCCCTTCATTTGGAAGGGCTCCAAATAAGAGAGTCCCTCATTCTGCAAAGTGTCCCTCTTCTAACGGAGAGGGCAGGCTGTTAGGACTCAGTCCCACCCCTGAAGGCATCTCGTGTCTTCCGTTAGGGTCACAGGATGGCAACGACTGTGCAAGTGCATGCCGTGCCCACTTGGGGTCCCTGCCTGTTGGTGACTGGGCCACCGAGATGCTCAGCAGCAGGGGCCTTGGTGTTCGTGGATCGTGTGTGTGTGAGTGCACACTTGGCACAAAGACGTCTGTCACTTTTAAAGGCGAAGGATTTTTCCTTTAGTGTTGTTCCTGGAAATAGCTTTATTAAAAAATAATGTCACGATTTTTTGAAAAGCAGTCTTCCCCTTCTGGCTTTGTGGTTTAGTAAAGTGGAACCAGGTTGACACCCGGTCCTGGAAATTTTCCTGTGAAACACGTATTTACTGCCTTGTTACTGCAAGAAAATGTTCTCTTCCCAGGGGTGAACCTGACTCCTGTGTATCTTCTCTTTCCACAAGGTCTCATACTCGCGTCATGTAGTGGTTAAGCTCCAGGCCCCTGAGCCGGAGAGCCCCCCTCCCCGCTGCCTCCGTTTTCCCCTCTGTGAAAAGAGGGTAAGAACAGTACCGACCTCACGATTCCTGTGGAGAGTAAATAGGTTAATATTTGTAGAGTGATGGAAACGGAGGCTGGCACTCTGTAAGTGTTAGCCCGCCCGCTGTTTTATTTCTTGTAGGATCGGTAAGCATCATTCACTGGCGTCGGGTTGTATAGTGAGGACAGCCAGGCACGCTGACTGAACACTTCTGGATTCTTCCTTTTCACGATTTGGATGGTTGTATTTTGGAAAACGGTTACGCCTTTAACAATTTGGGGGACAAATAGGTTGTCACAGATGCTCAGTCAATTCCTAGAGAATTCATTTGCCCGAAGATGATGATGATGATGATGATGGCTAACACATGTATCTGGAACTTACATGTTCTGAGCATTGGCAAATATTCATTTCATCCTCACGACAAGCCTTCAGGTAAGTACAGTTACCATCCCCAGTTGAGAGTTGAGGAAACTGAGGCACTTAAGGTCTTGCTCAAAGTTGTACACTTCCTCTGTCAGGGTTCTTAAGTACATACTGTCTGGTCCTGGCCCCCCTCTTCGACTTCACCTTCTGCTCTCCTCTCTGTGGTGGTCCAGCCACTGGCTTCGGTTCCTTGAATGCCCTGCCTCAGGGCCTTTGCATTTGCTGGTAACTCACTCCAATTCTTGCAGACCTGGCTCCTTCTATTCTGGTGAAACTCAAGTGTCCCCTTTCCCGACTCATATAAATTGTAGTCCCGCCCTATGGTTCCTCTTCACGTTATCCTGTTTGCTTCCCCTGCTAGAGCAGGAAGAGGCCTTTTTCTGACCGGTTTACTACTATCTGGCACAGCATCATTTAAAATTTGTTGAATAAATTTCGGTGCTAATGACTTTCATAATGGTCTTAGCTCCTTCTCGCGTGTTTGCGTGCAGCCCAAATCGTGTGTCTGCGTGTGTGCACACAGGTGGGTATAAATGCGTGAATGGGGAGGGAGAGAGAGATTCTAATCTCAGTACTGTGGTACAGGATCACAGGCCTCTCTGAGTTACAGTCCTAGCTCCGACGGTGACCGCCTGATGTTTTTCTTAGGGGTGAAGCACCTAGTTGCGCTGGGCTCTGAAAATGCTGTCACGCGTTAAAGGACATGTGTAAGGGTCTCAGCCAGCAAGTGATCAACAAATGAAATCTTTTTTTTAATTTGGGTAAAACAGATACTACTCTAAAAAGTATATATATTTACGTACATGTATCTTTTATACACACACCTCTCCCTCTCCTCCACTGATTTAAGTCGTATTCATTTCATTTATTTCTCCTAGGGGCCTCCTTATCAGATCTCTCCAAGGCTTCCGTTGGGGAATTTGGCAAAGAGATGGGGTGCCAGGAACCGGAAACCAGGACTTTGACAAAAAAGGGATTTTCTCTCCTTTAGCTGAGAGCTTGGGCTACCGTAGATGCCGCAGGTCTTGGGTGAGGTGTGAGATTCACTGCCAGGTTGGAGAAATGTGGCCTGGACGGACCTGTGTGGTTTGGTTAGGCTGATGATGGTGTTTCGGATGCCGGTCCCGCAGCTTGACGAGGCCACGTGTTAACTGCTTTTCTGGAACACGACCTCTCTATCACCTGTTCTGCCCTAGATAACCAGTTCAGGATGTCCATCCTAGAACGTCTGGAGCAGATGGAGAGGAGGATGGCGGAGATGACGGGGTCCCAGCAGCACAAACAGGGGAGCGGAGGAGGCAGCAGCGGAGGGGGAAACGGGAGTGGGAACGGAGGAAGCCAGGCTCAGGTACGGGCGTGCACTGACCATCACCTTTCACCCTGTGCTTTATTGATCACAAGTGCCTTGTCTGGTGCTGGTGTCATTCCTGGATTAGTCCCGGGGAGTGCTTTATAATCCTGTGCCCCTAAATTTTGAAATCTGTGTAATTACAGAAGCCTTGAACGGTGGGGCTTCTTGGTTGTTGACCGCCCTGAGCCTTAAATCGTTGCTGCCGATCCCAGAATTCAGTGCTGCTGCCTGGCGGTGTGGCTCGAGGACATCCACTTAGAAAACAGGCCCAGTGGCGACTCAGAGTTCAGTTGGACTCTATTTTGTATTGTGGATTCCATATCTATTTTAAATATAAATATAAAGCATGATCCAACTCGGCCATTCATAAAGCCTTTTATAAAGTCAAGAAGATCAATATCAGAAGCTCCCAGAGAAGCTGTTTCTGGAATTACTTGGTGTCGGACAACATTAGCCCTGCTATCCTGTTTCACATCTGCTTTCTCATAAATTCCAGGAAGAATTGGCCAAATGCAGGGACGTCACTAAATATTTTTTTAGAGTCCCATTAGTCTTGAAGGCTTTACGTAAGTTTTATTTACGGGTCTCATTTTGAGAAATGGCCTGGGCAGAAATTATTTTTCAGGAGACCCTAGAGACAAATTTTCAAAGGATGGATAGCATTCCCCTCTCTCTCTCTCCGACTGAGTTATTATTCCCTGCAAACCCCGAGCACTTTCCCCTCTTTCTTCAAGATTAATGATGATTTCCTGTGAACAATTACATTTTTAAGTGAAACGTTTGAGTTTTATGTTCCTTGCAAATATCAAGTGTTAATAATGTTTTAATACCAAATTTTAATATTTTGAAACCGAAGCATTTTATGGACCACACCCCAAAACCAAACAACCCCTTCTTCCCCGAATGTTCTTATTTCTTACCTGCCTTCAGAAGTCCAAGGGAAGACTTGGTGCACAGTAAAATATTATTAAGGCCACAACAGGCTTCTTTTTCACCTAGACTCCTACATTTTAGAAAAGAAGTAATCGTTGTTTGTTGTATCTCATGGCTCAAATCAGGGATTCCCACGAAAACCTTCTGTCACCAGACAGAGTTTGCATCAAGGGAATGGAATATACTGTCATTTTACAGCTCAACCATTCGGTAACTGGCCTACTACAACCTGATCCCATGCTAACTGCTATTGAAGACTCTTCTGTCAATTTAAGGTGGCCTCGATACATATCTGGGTCCACCTTTCGTGATAAAAATGCAGCTCTTTTTGTGAATGCAAAAAAATTTCCCTCCCTGCTCACTAACCCGTAACTTTCACGTGCTCATGAATATGTCTGTCTGATGCGTCGGGAGCACCTCTTGCCTGTCCTTTCCGAGTCAAGGTCGTCCTTCCGCATGTTGGGATCACCCACCTTTAAGATGTTTTGACAGCTCTAGCGAGGATGACATTGTATCGGTCACCCACCTTTTTATTTTTGCAAGGTGTTTTTCCAGACTTAAAAGAAGGAACGACAGTACTTCCATAGTAATTGAATTTTGTGGACTTTATTGCTGGAAAAAAAGACTTTTTAAGTAATACCAGAAATAAGAATCAGGCTAGAAGTATCCTTTATTTGGGGAGGATGTTAAACATAGAACTGCCGTCACAGAGACTCAGATAAACTGTTGAGTTTACTACATTCAATTTTATGTTTCTTGCCTTACAACTGAATCGAGAGAAGAAAGCCATAGTTAAAATTAGTGAATTTCTCTTCCCCGTGTGCCTCTATCGTTATTAATATCACTTAGATTTGAAGATCCCTAAAGCTTTCCCCAAAGGATGGGATCGTCACTAGACTTTTTAAAGTGCTTCTTTGCAGGGGGGAGAAAAGATCCCCATCTAAGTGACTTAATTCTCCTTCGGGAAGAGCAGGGAGGCAGAGGTCTGAGTGTGTCCCCAGATGCAAGAATTGGGACAGCCACCCTGCTTTTCTCTCCTAGTAGTCTACGGTCCACAACGTGTACTTCAGCTGGAGGCTAGTGGCACTTCTTTAGCGGTGTATGCTTTCCCCGAAACGGACCAGCGTGATGTTCATAATCCGCGTGTCAGCTGTAGTGGACTCCGGTGTTCTCAGCATTATGGAAGGTCACCCCGTGCCACACGCATGGATGCGTGCCGCCGAGCTGAACCTCACGCATTCTAGTCTGTTTCGCGATGCCCCTTTGTGCACGGTTTTGTGTTTCCTGTTCTGAGCGGCTAATCGTAAAGCATTTTGTTTCTCCTACATGAAAAGGTTGACTTGGCGGAGGGCCCTGGGTCTGCGGTGGTAACACACACTTCCTCCTCCTAGTGTGCCTCTGGCCCCGGGACGCTGGGCAGCTGCTTCGAGAGCCGTGTGGTTGTCGTGTGTGAGAAGATGATGAGCCGTGCCTGCTGGGCCAAGTCCAAGCACTTGATCCACTCAAAGACTTTCCGGGGAATGACCCTCTTGCACCTGGCTGCTGCCCAGGGCTACGCCACCCTCATCCAGACCCTCATCAAATGGCGGTAAGGCCGGGGTGCGGATGGCTGGTGGGCACCCTTGCCCGTCAGCTCGCACCTTCCTCTTGGGCGATGGCACTGGTGGAGAGGAATCTGGCCATTCAGTGAGCTTGACAGCCTGTGAGCAAAGGGCTTTCTCGGAGGACAGTTCCCAAGGGAATCTTACACGAACTTCTGCCCAAGGAATGGCGAGCGAGACGTTGCACTCTCTGCTTTCCTCGGGGCTCATAATCCGAACCGCCCTGTGAAATTAGGGACTCTGTCTTCTTCACATCAGGGATGTTGGATGCCCACTTTGGTTTCATCTTTGTGGGTTTGATAACATTCTAGTATTTCTTGGACGTTGATTAATTGTGCGGTAATTTCTGGTGCCATCCCTTACAGCACAAAGCACGCAGATAGCATCGATTTGGAGCTGGAAGTTGACCCCTTGAATGTGGACCACTTCTCCTGTACTCCTCTGGTAAGGCATGGGTTCATTTAATCCCTGAGCCGTTTTTCTAAACTGGCATGGGGATGTGGTAAGGTCTTACGGCCCCACGGAGATCGTCAGCAAGGACCAACTTGTCCATTGGCGGGAATGGCAAAAGCGGAGGATGTTTTTTTAACTTGTACTGAGAAAGCTTGCTGTTTTCCTTGTTTTAGATGTGGGCGTGTGCTCTCGGGCACTTAGAGGCTGCTGTCGTGCTGTACAAGTGGGACCGTCGGGCCATCTCCATTCCGGACTCTCTAGGAAGGCTGCCTTTGGGGATCGCCAGGTCGAGGGGTCATGTGAAATTAGCGGAGTGTCTGGAGCACTTGCAGAGAGATGAGCAGGCTCAGCTTGGACAGAACCCCAGAATCCACTGTCCTCCGAGCGAAGAGCCCAATACAGAGAGCTGGATGACCCAGTGGCACAGTGAAGCCATCCACTCACCGGAAGTACCCAAAGGAGTCACCGTCATTGCAAGTACCAATCCAGGTAAAAATGCAAAATGATTACATCTCGGAACTTGGCACATTTCCCATTTGCTTTCGTGCAGCAACCCTCAGAAAAGTCCACAGGATATTCACATACGTTTAAGGGTTTGGTTTTTGGGGTTTTTTGGTTGTTTTTTTTTTTTTATGTTTCCGATTTTTCTTTTAGCTGTAAGAATGCCTACTGCTTCCCCCCTACCCCTCCCAGAAATAAATGCAGAAAGTAGAAAAAAAAAATCTGTGTCTGGAGGACTGACTGAATACAGTATATGCTGCTGGGGAATATTTAAATGTTAGGAACGCATCTTGAGTTCCCGCTTTGCACTTTGTGTCTCTCAGGCAATAGAGAAAGTGTTAATTCTTTAGGGTTCCTAACTTTATCGCCTGTCCTGACTGTCCTTTCTACTGTACTTTTCAGAGCTGAGAAGACCTCGTTCTGAACCCTCTAATTACTACAGCAGTGAGAGCCACAAAGATTATCCAGCTCCCAAAAAGCATAAATTGAACCCTGAGTCCTTCCAGGCAAGGCAGCAGAAACTGCTCTCCACTGCACTGAGTCTGGAACAGCCAAATATCAGGAAGCAGAGCCCTAGTTCTAAGCAGTGTGTCCCTGAGACAATCAGCCCCAGTGAAGGAGTGAGGGACCGCGTCCGGGAAACCTCCCCTCCCGTTCCAGAGACTGCACGACTCCAAGCCTCTGGATCTCAGCCTGTAGTAAAGTGGAGTCCCAAAGATCTTTACATTGGTGTGTCTACAGTACAGGTGACTGGAAATCCGAAGGGGACCAGTGTAGGAAAGGATGCCGCACCTTCACAGGTGCGTCCACGGGAACCAATGAGTGTCCTGATGATGGCTAACAGAGAGGTGGTGAATACAGACATGGGGCCCTACCGTGATAGTGCAGAGAGCGAGGAGTGCACACAGCCCATGGATGACATCCAGGTAAGCACGGACCAGGTAAGCCCGCAGAGGCCGGGGTGGCCGTCAGAGCGCCCCCCACGTCTTTACAGCCGGTTCCCGCAGGTCGTGTGATTTGCTCACCAGCAGACGTTTGGAAGTGTGTTCTAACTCGTGAGAGTGTTGGGGTGTCTCCTCTGCTCAGGCCACGTTTTCATTCAGAGGATCCAACGTCGTAAATGGGGCCTGAATGCCAGGGACCTGGCTCTCAGCAGAGCCCTCCCCTCCTCCCACCAGCTCCTCAGAGCTCACCCGGGGCCCTCCAGTCATCTTCCGCTTCCCTCTGCATCCGGGGAGACTGGTTTCCTATTTAAGTATACCGGTTTAATAGAGTCACAGCCCAGGAACGTCTAGAACAGGAGGCCTGTGGATAGGATTTTTAAATGACCTAAGTGACATGAGCACAGCTGTCATCTGGCTGTGGTAAAAGCATATGTGGCGTGAGGTGCAGCGAAATAGCCCGAGAGCTGGTAATTGGCCGTCCTTGTGATAAGCCTAGAAACGCCAGGATCCCTGGGGCGCCTGGGTGGCTCAGTCGGTTAAGCGTCCGACTTCAGCTCCTGTTGTGATCTCACGGTTCGTGAGTTCAAGCCCCGCGTCGGGCTCTCTGCCATCAGCACAGAGCCCGCTTCGGATCCTCTGTTTCCCTCTCTCTCTGCCCACCGCCCCCTCAAAAATAAATAAACAAACAAACAAAAAAAAAACAGCACCTCCAGAATCCTCTTGGGGCATTAAGCTTGCAATAGATTAAGAGAATATTTAGTGAAGTAAACTTGAGGTTAAGCTATTAAGCAAGCTAATGCCCCTAAATAAAGTATTCCTTCTGTATTTTAGGGGAGGACCAAATGAGCAGCCTGAGTGGGAGTTTGGCCTCCTCTCTTTCCAAGTTCCTCTAGAACCCGAAACAAATGTCACAGGGAAGAACCCCCACGAGAAATCCAATAGGGCACCAGGCCTGTCGAAATGCCACAGGAGGGAGGGGCCTGGAGGTCCCCCGTCCTGTCCAGTGTTCCTGGGGAGACGTCTGGCTGCTGAGCAGCTCCCCTCTGTCCCGCTGTGAGCACAGTGAAGAGCCCGTGTGCTCCCGTTCCTCATGGGTGGGCCGGGGGTTCCACCACCGACCTGCCGACCCCTGCAGGCATGGGAGGCTGCCTGAGAAATCAAAGAATTTTTTAGGTAAGGGGTTGGCAGAGTTTTCCCGTAAGGGGCCAAATGGTAAATATTCTAGGCTTCGTGGACCCTCTAGACTGTCGTGACTATTTAATCTGCTTTTAGAGCACAAAGGCAGCCTTAGATAATATCAGAGTGTTGGGTGCCTGGGTGGCTCAGTCAGTTGAGCGTCTGAGTCTTCTGCTCCCGTCATGATCTCACGGCTCCTGAGTTCCAGGCCCGCCTTGGGCTCTGTGCTGACGGTGCAGAGCCTGCTTGGGATTCTCTCGCTCTCTCCCTCTGGTTCTGCCCCCTTTCCTCCACCCCCTCAAAATAAATAAATAAACTTTAAATAGAGAAATAAGAGTCAGTGTGGCTATGTGCCAGTAAAACTTTATTTACACAACCAGCTGCTGGCTTTGGCTATACCGCGTATCAGTACTAAGCAGTCTAGGATAGTATTTATAAACATAAATGTAAACATAATAATAAATCAGCAGACGGTGAAAATTGGCAGCTCAACCGTGTTGAGCATCTAGAACAGTGCTGTTCACTGGAACTTTCTGCGGTAATGAAACGTTCTGTGTCTGTATGCCCCGTTACGGTAGCCCCTGGCCGCTTTGGTATCTAGTGCTGAAAATGTAGCTGGTGTGACTCGGGAACTGGATTTCTGATTTTACATCATTTTAATGAACTTAAGTTTAATAGCCTTTGGGTACCAGAGCTCCTTGTGGCAGCTGGCCTTTGCTAAAGCAGAATTGATGCAGGAAATACGAAATAACCCGAGAAATTCTACTTTACGTTTTCACTGAGTCTTGAGAGAATAATACTCTGCTAAATCAAGAGCATGTATCTACGAAAAAGCAACAGCCTCAAGAAGTATTCCGAGCAAATGAAAAAATACCATTGAAAAATAATGAAGTAATTCAAGAAATGGCAAGGCGGAGTTCACGGAGGACTGAAAAATAAACCCAGTTAAAACTGATCCGTCTGAGTACTTAGCGATAACGTGACTGTGTGTACAAGGTACTTGTTGAGAAGGGATTCTTTACATAGAGGAGGAGTCATATTTTAAGACTAACCTATAACTAATACTCTGATTATTTTAACAACACCAGAGAGGTGGGGTGAAGGGTGTTGTAGCAGCTGTCTTGTTTAGGGAGGATCACCGATTTCGTTCCACTCGTGTTATTGATAGGTAAGTGGAGGCTGAAATACGCCTGTTAGGAACGTCAGCTTCCTAACGTCAGCTAGACTGCATAAAAACGAGTGACAGAATTTCTAAGTTATTGGAAGGGGGAACAAAGGAAATTGTGACCCACTTGGGGAAAAGTTCAGGAAATACTGCGACAACAGAAATAAGCAGAAAACATAAAATTACGGTAGTATTTTCAAACGCGATTCATTCCTCACTTTGCCAACTGACAATTCTATTAAAAGATTCTCAGTTTGGGTTAAAAAAAAAAAAAAAAAGAGAAGAAGGCGGCAGAATATACTCTACTGTATGCTGTTTGTAAAAGACAGAACTACAATGAAATCACACAGGAAGATCATGAAAACAAAGCCATAAAGCCCAGAAGCCACTGACAAAGATACAAAAGACAAAGGAGTATAAAAGGAAAAAGACACAAAGCACAATTCAAGGTCCATAGTATGGAGGTACCTTTTGTTGGAGAAGATAAAACCCTTATGGTAGTGGACTGCTGTGTAACTAAGCACACAGCTTCTAGATGTTAAAGCAAAAACCAATAAATAAAAGAAATGTGGAAGCCTACCCGTGATCATAAGGTGCCACTGACCTTTGCCTCAGAATGTGTCAGCTTAAGTAGATACAGAAATGATGTAAAAACATGGAACTACACAATTAGAAACCTGGCTTTCATATATAGATTTAATATATATGGATAGATTTCATGCAGGATATGCTTGCATGTAATTATGCAGATGTATGTAATTAATAAACATAGCAAACATATATATATATGTTTATATATATATATGTATATATAATTGTTCTTTTTACATATCCCGGACACATTTGTGAAAATGGCTCATACGCTAGACCACAGCGAGAATTTGAGCAAAAACCCAAAGCTGCACATTTAAAGGCTATCTTTGACCACAGTACGAGAAATGTGGAATTGGATGACATGACTTTTTGGGTCCCGCTGCTTAGAACGTTATTATTTTGCTTAAAGTTATTTAAGTTTCCTTGCTTTTTGCAGCCCTCACGATAAAAAAAAAAAAAAACGTGGCATGTGGCATCCCAGAGCGTGGCAGTCGTGGTGATGCTAAGATGTTCTTACACTGATACGTGTTTATAAAATGAAGGATTGTTGGGGGTGGTGACTACATGTAAAGTTATAACTTTCAGTCTCCAGAAATTCCACTTTGCTCATAATAAAATACTCAAATACTTTCACGGAAAACGAATCAAGGTAGGACTTCTGCTGCTCAAGTCGCAAATGAAAGGCCAACATGGAAGGAAAGGAAAGGCAGTGATAGTTTTTCATTTTTATTCCTATCGCAAGAATTATTCTTGTTTATTGAAAATTTAGGAAATTACCCACATGTTTTTAACTCAACATCCCATAAAATCTGCCCCCTCTAAGTGCCCCGTGTGGCGAATCTGGCCCCATGTAGAGTACCTCCGTCACACCCAGAAAGTTTCCCGTGCCCATTGGCGGTCACCTCTGCTCCCCTCCCAGCCCCAAGCAACCACTGATTTGATTTCTATCCCCAGAGCTTTGCTTTTTCTGGAAATCTCATGTCAATGGCATCATAAAATATGCAGGCTTCTGTGTGTGGCTTCTTGCACTTAGCATACTGATTTTGAGGTTCATTCAGGTTGTCAGATAAGCATTTTATCACCTTTGTATGGGTCCCTGGAGAACACCTTAAAATCGCTTAAAACCGTAAACGGCTGTCTTCAATTTCCATTTTCAAGAGACGTGCAAGGAAATTTTTAAAAACAAGGCCGTATCTCCGAGTCTGATCAGATACGTGGCAGCGCAGACTCTCAGTGAGGAGCCCTAATTGTATCTATTAGGAATGTATTTGGGGTGCGAGTATCAGCAGCCTAATGATTTCTTTTTCTCACATGACAAGAAATGCACAGGTTCATTTGCTCGGTGACGCCATCAGGGACCGAGATTTTCCCCTGAGCGCTCTGTCCTTTTTGGCGAAATTCCCCCTGGCGCATGTTGTTTCACGGTTACGACGTGGGTGCTGGAGCTTGTCTGTAGTCAAGGCAGGAAGAGGAGGGGACGAGCCCAGGGCGTTGATACTGTTCATCAGGAGAGCAGAAGCTTTGCCCCAAACCCCGCAGCAGATGTCTGGAGAGGCTCGTTGTTCAGAAGCGGGTCCCATGTCCTCCCTTCCGTTCACAGGAAGGTGGGAAATCAAGAAGAGGATCATCTAACTGGCTTAGGTCAACCATGAACTGTCCCCTCGGGTTTCGCTCGGTGCTGCCCTCTAGAGGACTGGGGGTCTCTAGGCAAGGCCTTGCTGGGAGGTGGGGGGGGGGGGGCCAGGGGGGCATCCCTTAGGTTACCCGTAGAGTCACCAGATAACACGTACCCAGGGACAGTTCCATTAAGTGGTTGATCCTAGACGCGAGCGGAGAGTAGGCACAAGGCAGAAGTCCCCTAAGATTTGACTAAAGGTTTCAGGCCAGACTATGATTTGGAGAGAATCAGGCGTCCGCACACTCGGGTGAGTTGTGTAAAACCTTACAGTGATACCGGGGTCCAGCGGATGGAGGTGGAGGGCCGCCCTCCCTTCGTTTCTCTTCCCATGGGTGGGCAGGGTCGGGGCGGGGGGGGGGGCTGGATAACACCTGCGGTTCCCTTTTAACGTGAGTGTTTCTGTGACTTCCGGCTTCCAGGTGAACATGATGACCTTGGCAGAGCACATCATCGAAGCCACACCTGATCGAATCAAGCAGGAGAGTTTTGTGCCCACGGAGCCCTCGGCTTTGGAAAGAACAGACACTGCCACCATCAGCAGTACCATGAGCTGGCTGGCCAGTTACCTGGCCGATGTCGATCGTCTGCCAAGCGCTGCCCAGATCAGGTCCGTGGAAGTCCGTGGGCCACTGACCAGCGTGAACTCCCGGGCTCAGAGAAGGGCACGGGAGGCTCATTCAGTCTGATGAATGCTGTGTGATACGAGACCTCCCGATGGAAGGAAGGAAACTTTCAGGTCCCTCTTCCCCACCTCTTCCGTGACTTCCCTCCCCTCGTGCGTGTGAGATCATGTCCCACGATGTTTCTCTCCCCCAGTTCAATTGAAGTTTCGTCAAGGGCAGGAAAATGTCTTCAGTGGGCTTAGTATTTAGCATCGTGCTAAACTCGTAACAGGTACTCAGTAGGAACTCACTCACTGAAGGACAGTTACCAGTACAGAGGATGTTTAGCAACTCACTGCACTGAAGGAAGGCATATTCTTGCTGGTGCGCAGTGGCTCTTGTCTCTTTACTCGGTATGTAATGGGTCGCGCAGATCAGTCACCAGTCTCTCTCCCTTGTGTCTCCTCTTGTTTCAGAAGTGCATATAACGAGCCTCTAACCCCTTCTTCTAATACCAGCTTGAGCCCTGTCGGCTCCCCAGTCAGTGAAATAGCTTTCGAGAAACCCAGCCTTCCCTCAGCAGCAGATTGGTCTGAATTCCTGAGCGCGTCTACCAGTGAGAAGGTAGAGAATGAATTTGCTCAGCTGACTCTGTCTGATCACGAGCAGAGAGAACTCTATGAAGCTGCCAGGCTTGTCCAGACCGCTTTCCGGAAATACAAGGTAGAGTAGAAGAGAGCTCTGATGTTGTGACGTTTCGTAAGGTGGGGGAGAATAGACGAAAGTCAGAATCATCCAAACTAAAACCTGATGCCATTTTTTTCTCCCACTATATATTCTATAGAATCGTTATTTGGACTTATTATGTCACAGGAAATCATTAATAATTTTCAGAAGCCTCGGTGAAATAAAACCGATCAGTAGTGCGATGTCAGCATCTCAGTTTATTCTTGGCAGTGATAATGGATATTTATCCTTTAGTTAACATTGAGTAAGTTGACACCTCCACCGCAAGGAATTTATGACCCAAAGCAGGGATTTCTAACTGGATGGAGGCCTGGGGCTGACCGTAGGTGGCCCGTGAACTCCTAAAATTTTATGGTGAAGCTTGTGTGCGTGCATTTTTGGTGGGACAGGGCCCGTGGCCTTCCATATTCTCAAAGGAGCCTTTGACCACCCTGAATAGGTGTTAAAAGCCAATCATCATTGATCCCACAGTAGAGCAGCCGGGGTTAGGTTAGGAACGACGATGGAGATCTGGCAGAGCGCGTAAGGACAAATAGTGCAATACCTGACTCGTTAAATACCTGGCAAATGAAGACTTTTAGGCCTCCTAACATCCAACTATTATAGTTCTATTTAGAAGCAGGAATGGGAGATCTATTCTGTAAATTCATTTTTTTCCTGATTTCTGCTTATAACTGATTATCACTGTATTTTGGTAAACCTGGGGTCTCGGAGGAAGTTATATGTGAGTAACAGTTCTGTGTAAGTCTTAAAAAAGTTGAAATTTCTTACACTAAATCGTGGTTTTGCTTCACTTTACCCTTAAGGGCCGACCCTTGCGAGAACAGCAAGAAGTGGCTGCTGCCGTCATTCAGCGTTGTTACAGGAAATACAAACAGGTAAACCACGGCTCTGGGTCACAGTAGGAAGTGCACCTGTCCAAACAACAGGCCCCTGAGGATGTTAGCATGTGGTTTGGCCTAAGAGTACTATGTCCAGTGCCCAATTCAAAGACCAACTTTGAGTTATGTTGACCAAAAAAAACAAAACAAAAAACAAAGGAAAATATTCCAGAGGGGGAAGGAAAAAACTACCCCAGAAAAACATTTGCAGTTAAACTTATCCCACAGGGTAATTTTTGTTCAGATGGTTGGCCTTCCGGTATGATCTCCCAGCTGAGACGTTGATCTGGCACAAAGGAAGTTATCTGCGTCTGAAGGGAGGATCTGTGTTCTAGTAATTTGGCTACAGCCTCCGTAGCCATTAACTCCACTAGGGAGTTTGGTGTGGTGGTCAGAGAAGGTGAACGGTGGCAGTTATCTTTGACCTTGAGTTGTATAAATTATATACTGTCCAGCCACTTTTCTTTTCCACTTCCTCCCATCCGTTTTCACACGAAGACTTGTAAAATTCTGAAGAAGCTCAGAACATCTTAAACTGCTTTCGCATTCCTCAGTTAAGACGTGCAGGAAGAATTTCTAAGTGTTCTTTACACAGGGTTGCTGTTTCCAGAACAACCTGTAAGCTTACCTAACTGCCATCCCTTGGGAAAGGGAACTAACTAATGCGTACGGGGCCCCTAGGATATACGAGATCTTTTGGGCACGTCGTCCCATCACGTGTGCTCTCTACAATGATTGGAAGTAAATAACTTTATTTCTGTTTTTCAACAAAGAAGCTGAGGCTCAGAGAAACTAAGTAAATATCAGACTTTCCTAACCACCTGGGTGGTTGGAAACCATACAGACTTGCCTAATTCAGTTTTGACTGGTCCATAGGATAAAGTTCAGGCCTGTCCGTAGATTCTAGAACCTTCTATGAGACTATGCCATACGGAGGTTTTAAATGCTTATGTAAAGAATAGTGAATGCTGAGAAGTGGAAGTGTGGTACTATGTTCTCTTGCTCCGATCCAGGGTTCACTTTGATTTCTGATATGGGTTGCCATTTTCTTGAGTTTCTCTAGGATTAGTGAAAGGGGGTGGGCTGGGAGGAGTCCTCGACTTATAGCCAATTGAGTTCATGATCCCAGAAAATGAAGGTTTATTGTGTAAACGCTGACACCACAGTCCCTGGAGCTCTGCAGCAGGGAGCCACGCTCACATTAGAACAGATGCCACACAGAATCCACGTGTCAGGTCTGTGATTAAAACGGGCGTTTATTCCAAAATATGAGTTCTGTTTTTGTTTTTTAAAACGCCGTCCCAGGGGCGCCTGGGTGGCTCAGTCGGTTGAGCATCCGACTTCGGCTCAGGTCACGATCTCACGGTTCGTGGGCTCGAGCCCTGCGTCGGGCTCTGTGCTGACAGCTCGGAGCCTGGAGCCCGGCTTCGGATTCTGTGTCTTCCTCTCTCTCTGCCCCTCCCCTGCTCACGCCCTCTCTTTTTCAAAAATAAGTTAAAAACAAAACAAAAACCAAACCAAACAAACAAAAAACCCTCCCAAAGAAGTATTGTCTACAACCAGGAAGACAGAAGGCAATATTTTTTGAAATACTGGCAAGTAGAAGACAAATATTTTGGAAGACAGAAGGCATTAAGATAGCCAGATTGCCTTTTTCTTTTTTCTTTTTTTTTTTTTCCGGTTGGGAGTTTTATTGGTTCTGGTTTTTAATTTCATTCTATTCAGCAGTCTAACATTAATCTTGTATTTTCTGTTTCTCCCCAAGCTGACATGGATAGCCTTGAAGGTAATGACACCCAAGTCCCTCTCACAAACCATTTCACCAGAGTCACAAACGCCACACCCATCACCAGCGATAAGAAGGGGCCATTAAGACGGCAGGGTCTTGAAATAGGCATACTCCCCTTGCCAGGCCGCCGAAGTACGGTGCATCTCTGGGGACCATGTGGCTATTCCGTTGCAGTGGGTTTTGGCATTAACAGTCATTGGACACTTTCTTGGCCATGTCCGTCTAGAGAATCCATCCGAGCCAATTACCGTGAGCCCCGCGAGCCCCAAAATGCACCACCCTGCTGCCCAGCGTGCTTCCCTGGGTTCCAGTAATTTCTGCATGTGCGGTATGCACAGGCCGAGTGGACGAAAGCCACAGGAGCCCTGCAGCATGCAGCGTTCTTGTCTTAGGAGATTTTGGGGCAAATGAAAACGGAAAGCAGGTCAGACAAGACCTGAGAGGATTCTTGCACAAGGGTCCTGTGTCTTGAACATTCTTGAGAGGTCAGTCCGTTCCCTGCCCTCAGTCCAGCTCATACAGGCAGGGATGTCCTCAGGCACAGGGATTTTTCTCAGGAGTATTTTCCCCCAGGATGGTAAGTTGCCTTCTTGTAAGCAAAGTGCTTCCTTGTGACTTCTTGACCCCAGAGCCCTCCTCTTCTATGTCTCGTTAGAAGCTCAAACATCGCCTTTTTGAAGTATGGAGAGCTCTGGGTTTTTAGTGCCTAGAGACCAAAATGGAAGAGAACTCCTTCTCCTGTGTGTAGTTCTGCAGCCGGCTGCGCGGAGGGTCGCCGCTCCTGGCTTCTGGGGAAGTCCCTGGTTCCGTGACACTTTCCCAGGTTCCATGGCATTACCCCTGTGTCGGTCCTATGAGTGTTAATCTCTTGCAGGTTAAATGTCTTAAAGGTGTCAGCGTTTCATGATAAGCCTTGTATTTGGGACCTTGCAACTCAGACATGTGTCGTATGGAACGATAGTCAGGAATCGGAGGCTGACCGCTCCAAGTGGGCGTGTGTATGGTGGTGATTGGGATGCGTAAAAAAGGTTCTCTTAAAATGGGACAGTAAATATTAATCTTAAGCATGTAAATTATACTTTCTAAATGTGTTCTCATTATTCCTAAATGTCTAAGTGTATTGCTATCAAATGTGTTTCCAAGTAGGGCAAAATATTTGATACTGGGGGGGAAAAGCACATTTGAAGCAATGCATTGTCTGAAGGCAACCCTTAAACTAATATTTTGCATTTGGGAAAGGTAGGTAAAGAGGTTCCTAGTTTGCATCCTTCATAATTGAATCCAAACCAGAGAATAGTAATAACAACAATAATAATAATAACAACAATAATAGTAATAGTAATAGTAATAATCATAATAAAGGGTCAAAGCATTTTCCTGCTCTCCCTTCCCCAGCAAACCCAAAGGACACATAGGCCCGGTGGCTACTGTTACTCTTCTGCTTATTCTTGTCTCCCTGCAGTATGCACTTTATAAAAAGATGACACAGGCTGCCATCCTAATCCAGAGTAAATTCCGAAGTTACTACGAACAAAAAAAATTTCAGCAGAGCCGGCGTGCCGCTGTGCTGATCCAGAAGTTTTACCGGAGTTATAAGAAATGTGGCAAAAGACGGCAGGCTCGCCGAACAGCTGTAATTGTACAACAGAAACTCAGGTGGGTTGAGATTTCGTGGAGGCGAAGCTGTCTGGGGAAGAGAAGCTTTCGGCGTCGCCCAAAGAACGGCCCTGCCTGGACGTCGGGGGCCAAACGCGCGCGTTGCAGTGACTTTCTTTAGGGGCCATTCTAGATGCTGTGACTCTATGTAGCGATACCGGAGCCGTTCACCGACCTTTGTATCTCTTTAGCCCCTCTCTCCACCCCGCCCCCACCCCCACCCCCACCCAGTTATCGTGATGCTTGGGTGAGAATTTGGCAGGACCGAAGTTTCCTACTCAGGAGAGGGGCGCCCCCCCCACCCAAAGTGTGGCGTTGCTGCAGGGGAGACCTGGGGAGGCTAGCTAGAGGTGAGCTATAGTCCGTCTTAGAGTAATGAAGACGGAGCACAGTAAAATCTGCCGATGGAAGTTCAGAACCCAACAGCCCAGAAGAGTAGCAGACTCAGGCAAACCAGCCTCTGAACTAAGCCTGTCTGTCTAGTGCCGGAAGGTCTTCTTCCGCAAAATGAGCTCAGGAAGACTCGTGAAAGAACAGCCCGATGTCACCGTATTTTCCATCTCGGCCCTGCTCCCCCCCCCCCCCCACCCCCACCCTTTACGGCAGGCCGGAGTGCCATCCGCGGCCTCCCCCCTTCTCTGCCGGCGACGCCCACACCCCGTGTGCCGAAGGCCTTACTGCGGGTGCGGTCGGGTTCGCCACGTCCTCTGTCCCCGCTCACCCGTTTTCAGCTTTTGCGCCTTAAGCGTGGCGGTACCCTTCCCGTGACAGTGATGTTCCGGCTTTTTCAGGAGCAGTTTGCTAACCAAAAAGCAGGACCAAGCTGCTCGAAAAATAATGAGGTTTCTACGCCGCTGCCGCCACAGGTAACATTAAGCCTCATCTAGACGGTTTACTCATCGAGAGCAATGAAACGACCCTGACCCTCCTAACCACTCATGAACTCCTGCGTAAAGCCAGTTCCCCGAAATTCATCAGAGTAAACGTCCCAAGTTGCAGTGGGAGAGCCGATCTCTAACTAGGGACCGAGTTGCTGCACTGCGAGCACCGGGAACTGCCTCACGGCACGTTGTGATGTTGAGTGGCAGAGATTCCTGCCGGGTCTCCTGTCTCAGTTTGGGTGTGAGGACAGCCTAGTGGGACTGGCTGTTGCTGCCTGTTTTCTCTTCAGCCTCTTACTTGCACGCCACCCTGCAGCGTGCTTTCCACTCCGAGCCCCTCCTGTGCCAGCTTGTGTCCAGAGAACAAACAGAGTTCCTGTTCTCAGGGAAGAGGTAGAAAACCACCGACTCCGGGCAGGGTTTCCCACGGAGACTTTCTGCCACGTCGCGGGCGCCCCCTGCTGGACGTGTGCAGCCGAGGGAAGCCATCTGCGCGGAGACGTGCGTTTTCCATTGGGAGAAAACGGGCCCCTGGAGACCAGGGCAGCTTCCCACCAGGCCAGCTAGAGGGGTTCCTCTTTGTTCCTTCAAATCTGAGGTTCCTTTGTGGACAGCAGGCTCTTTCCTTAGATTTGGGGACAGCCGGGGAGATTGTTTTGTTTTCCTGATGAGGTTAGGGTTCTGGGCTGACATCTGTGACGGTGGCCTTCGGGGCTGCGTTTCGGTGACCCTGTGTGGTTTTGTTGCTTCCCTGTGCATCAGGAGCTGTGATCTCCAGCCAGAAACTAGCTCTCTAGTGTCTTCTTGCCTCTTCTTCTTTCACTGCACCAAAACCCCGAGCATCTAGGTTCAGTTCGATTCCTCAGACGGTTCCTTTCACTTCAGTTTTTCTTACTCCTAAAACTTGCCAACTTCGAGAATGTTTGCAACTTGGAGACTTGATAGGGGTCAACGGCCATCTGCGCTTTTCCTTCTGCTAACAAAAGAATTCTTTTCTAGCATGTTGAGAGGACGTGTGCTCAGAGCCACACGTTCATCGTAATAAAAATTTTAAAGAGAACATCCTTTAGGCTGTATTCGGCATTCTCTAGCTGCGATGCTATTGGAAAGAGGCTGGTGCACACTTACTAGACCTCCGCAGCCCATCTGTCCTCTACCCTGCAGCAACTGGGGTCTGCTTCCCTGTGACCAGCTGGCCAATGAGATACCCGTATCGATACTCAAATGGGAAGTCTTGTTAGGAAATGCGTATCAAAACATGAAGCACCTGTGACATAATTACGTTAGTTCTAGAATCCCTGCTGAGGTCGGTCTCTCTTCTCTCCCCCGGGCCGGCCGTACCTTTGGCAACGTGAGATTCTCTTTGTTCGGTCACATGATCAGGGACTTCCCTCCGCCCTTTTCTGGACGTGCTCACCTGGGCTCGCACTTCCTCCTTCCTTTCTCCCCTCCAGTTTGTCTCCCCCAGCCCTGCTGAGACTGTGGTTAACACTCTCACAACAGATTTTCTTTTCAAGGAAATTAGCTTTACGGGGCTCTTCTTTGGAGCCAGAATGTTTGGAAGTTGAATTTTCCTTGTTTCTCCTAGTCTTCACCTCAAACTTTGAAAATACGTGCGGGTAATGCGACCTTGGTCATTATGAGCAAACTCACATCAAGTCCCATGCTCCTTCTTTGTTTTTCTCGTCCAAAGCCATGCCCTACGTCTGCATTGGGTGAGTTGAGAGGTTAAGACAGTTAGGCAAAACATCCGTGCCTAAAAGGCCGGCCCCCAGAGTAAGCTGAACAAAGGAACACTCTCATTCTTGTTTTCAAAGCTCTCTCTTCATAAGCTAGTTGAGAAGAATTTCATGAGGATTTCACCTTTCTTAAGTTCGTGTTTTAACAAGTAATAACCTCCTGAGGGTGGCAAGAAGGTCTGTTGTGAGGAGAACATCAGATTATGGACTCGGAATTCCTATTCATTCTTTGGGATAAAATAAAGACTCCTAGTGGCTCTCTTCCTGACTTGCCCCATAATGGTTTAGACGTTAGAAAAAAATGAGCAGGCGAATTTTAATAACTTTTGCATACCGACTGTATTCTCTTCCCATCCCTGTATCCTGAAAATCGGTAGAACTGAAAGCTCATGTTTTCCCTCGGATGAACGTAACCCTCTTTCCACGCTGGGGTGTTGAGTCTTATTTTAAGAGAAACTGTCATGTGTCTTGTCCCTGCGAAGTATTAAAATAGAAAACCTCATATAACACCCTCTCAGAAAAGGTAGGTAGGTAATGGCTTCAGGAATCTATAAGGGTCCTGTCTCTTAAGAATTTTGCCAAGTCATGTGACGCCAACATTTTTAGACCTCACGATGAATTGGTGAATTTTCTACCTGCTCATTTCACATACCCCATCACCACTCTCCTTTTCTTTCTTTCCAAAAAAAAAAAAAAAAAAAAAAAAAAAAAAAAAAAAAAAGGGGGAACCACTTTTTACTCTTTTTTTGTTGTTGAAATAAAGCTGTGTATAAGGTTTCTGTTGTGACCCTCACGTGCTAATAGCTCTTTGGTGTTGTTTTACTGTCTAAAGCCCCCTGGTGGACCATAGGCTGTACAAAAGGGTGAGTTTAGCTGCCTGCTAGCCAGTGTTTACCTTTATCTTCCATTTTCAATATTTTGCTTTTTGCTTGCTTGCATGGGGCTGCAGCCTAGGTATGCCAGTAAGTTTCACATCCATTTTGAATGAAATAAGACAAAATGAAAACTAACCCTAATTACTAACACTGCTACTTTATACAACATCAAACACAGTCACATACAGCAGATGTACAAATGCATGAGTAAGCGAAAGGGAGGCCCTTCTGAAGCCGCCACAGGGCATGCTTAGAACTCGGTGGAGTTGGAACAAGGCTGCACTGGAAGAAAACGTCAAGCAGGTGGCTATTTGTGACTCAGATCATTGGCCACAATGCAATTCTCTCAACTACCGCTGTGTCTAAATTTCTAAAGCAAAAAAGCTCACCAGGTGATACTGGCTTTTTTTTTTTTTTTTTTAACGAATCGATTTGTTGTTTAGAGTTACTATTTCCCCCATCACCCTGTTCCTGTAGTTTCGTTTTGTAAATCTCCCTTTCCCTGGTGCCATGAGGTAAGTCAGCACATGAAGCTGCCCTTTCAGAACTAATGCAGCGCATTCATTATTAAAGAGCGAGCAAACCCGACTTCCAGAATTTAATGGCAATGCTGAATAAAGACAGTGGGGTGGAAGGTGTGTTAAATCTGCATATTCTATATAGAGGTTAAGAGTGGACATTCCAATAGAATTTGTATTTTAAAGAAATGATGATGAAGAGGTAGGGTAGCTGATGGACACTGTTGGTGTCCTTGAGGTTTTAGACTATGATGCTGGTTTGTAGGTATACACAAGGGGCAGAAGTCTCTGCCAGAGGCGACTGCCACATGCGTGAAGGTAGAGGAAAGGATTTAGTGTCAGGAAATTGATTTAAAAGACAGGGATAGAATTCACCCAAAGCAGATTCGAATGTAGATTAATTTGACACCTTTTGTCCGATGGACTTAAGAGAAGATGCCCTTAAGCAAGTAACAGGGGAGCAGGGGATCCCCCACCCGTCAACTCCACTCCATTCGACACCCTCCCTTCTTAACCCCGACTTGAGTCATTTGTAAGATTTCTGAGAAGAGATTATAATTCAAAAATTCTGGAACTTCTAATGTTTCTGAAGCTAGTATTTTTCATCTAAGTGCCTTTATGTCGATGCTGGTATTTATTCATTGTATTTTAAGTCAAAGATCGTCTAACTTCTTCTTAAAAGGCTTTCCAAAGAAAGTAAATATCTTAGGCTTTGTGGGCCACACAGTGTCTGTCACACCCATTCAGCTCTGCCATTGCAGCATGCGAACAACAGTAGGTGGTATATAAATGAATGGTTATGGCTGTGTTCCAATAAAACTTTATTTACACAGATATTCATTGGGCTAGATGTGGCCCCTGGACTGCAGTTTGCTGACTTATGATGATAGGAGAATTGAGTTTTTATAAGTTCTTCCTAAAATAAGACCCAGCCCCTATATAAGATTTAAAGTCTCACGTGGTTAAAACCATGGGTGGTCACTGAAAGAAAATGTATGTAAAACAGAGTAAAGCAGTTCCGCTGGTCTGTAAATTTACTAGCTAGTCCTCTTGAGAATTAAGCAGTTGTTCACAGTTGTCCCATGTGGTGGAACTGGCTCAGAGATGTCTGTGTTTGAAATTTAAAAAAGGGGACAAAAGTCTCCACTTCTTTCTCTTTCCATTCCCTTTCACTCTCTGCATACATAAACAATATTTGTTTCCACTTAAAAAAAAAAAAAACCTGCAAAAGAGCAAATGCAGGCCCCAAGAGTCAGTTTAACAAAACAGTTGTTGTATCTCGCGTGTGATGTGCAATTAACACGATCCCTGCGAGGAGCCAACATTTAGTAAAAGTGGTTGCCTACGCACTTCGGAAGCTTGTTAGCTTCTGGCACATCAGTGATCGTTTTTAAGAGAACATTTTCCAAAGGTGCTTTTCCATGTGAGAGTCCCTACCATAACTTCTTTAGCACCTGCTGTATCCATCATCACAGGCTCCTAAAACTCCTCCTCGGGCACGGAAAGTTGGAATTTCCTGACACCCCTGGGCCTCCCGGGCTTCAGGGACTTGGAGAGAGAGCAGCTGAGAAGCTCAGATTCCTTCTAGTACGGTCCTGTCTCTCTCCCTGTGTGGATGGAGGGCTAGCTTATCTGTGGCTTTGTCTAGTTACCGGTAAGATCTCACCCCCTCTTGGTTCGGTCAAGAGACCAGAGCAGAGACGTCAGTCACAGTGGCACTTCCTCCAACAGTCCCCAAGCTGAAATGACTCGTGGGGAGGGAGGACATTCTCTGAGGAGAGTTCTTACTGGTGGAATTTGTGTCAAACGACTTAGCATACTTTTTTTTTTTATTAATGTACATACCATACTTA